GAAGGGGGTAGCTGTGCTACTTCCTCCCTGATGGGCCCTAGTCCCCCTTAGATTATTAATACAGAGGGAGGGATTGTGCAAGATGGAGGCAAATTAAGGATACTTGCTGGGCAAATAATTAATGATGGCTACACCTTGGTTGCTACTCAGTCGAGCTGTCATTGGGTAGTGTGAGGATCTGCCAGTGGACTTGCACTTTCTCCTGTTCACCTGGCAAAGCAGATAAGAAGAAACAGCAATGCAGAATATCAGTAGCTATCTATCTGGAACGCTGAGGGGTGATGGAGGACGGAGGTCAACAAGGGCAAATTGGTGAAAGAAAAAAAAACAGAAAAAAAGAAGGAAACAGAAAATAGGGATGCGATGCAGCAAGGTCTGGGGGTGAATTAAAAGGAGAGATAAGAGATTAAAGATCACTGGAGACAGAACATGAAAGCTTATTGCAGCCTGCTTTCTCTGGAGGGGTGCTGACCAGCCCAAATACCAAACAGCTGCTTGGTATTGACCAAACAGCCCAGCCCTCTTAAGGAAAGGGCCCATTAGCTGAGCTCCCCCCAGTGCCATGTGGCTTGGAGCCCCAGTGCTTCAGGGTGTCTAACCCACGGTAAGTTTTCTAGTTCTTCTAATGTTTACTGTAGGCTGAACCTGAACTGCTGCAGTTTTGCATGGTTTTTCTTACTTCTCACTTCAGTGGCTGGTTATTCCTTATCTCTTTGGGTTCTGATTCTTGTTTTCATAAACCTGTTTGCCCATGACTGCTTTTAACACATATGTACCAAGGCCCAGATGGAAACTTACATGTTTCATTGTAACTAGCATGGTCATCTGGATTAGTAATTAGGTTTTTTCATAAAAGTTCAAGTCATCATGTGTTTCCAGTGTGTTTGTACTCCCACCTCCCCCCCTTATTTTTCCATCTTCTACTGTTTTCAGGAGTTGTTTCCCTTGCCTAGATCTCAGTTAGCATGGGAGACTGCTTTCTGTGCATGGATTCTCCATGTCATCCTTTAGCATCATTGGGCTTTTCCTGTTAAAAATTTTAGCTGTTTCTTTCACCTCTGCTCCTTCTACACCTCAGTTTCTTCACGCAGCTTGTGTATTTGCATGCAGAGTTTTCTTTTGTTGTTGCTTTTTTTTGTGGGGAAAAATGTAGGGGAACTCCAGAACCAGTTTACTCAAAATGTTTTCCTACTTTGTGCTGCACTTGATACAGGATTAGGGCCAGCAGTCAGCCAGTCTTAAATGTCATAGTCCATTAAAGTCAACGGGGACAGTTTACACAGACTGAGAATTGGCTATAAAATTAGTCTCTCGGGGATAATCCATGTTTCCCATGTGCTTGTAAAGAGCGTCTCTAATGCTTTCCTAGTATGAAATGTATTTGCAGTACAGCATTGCAAAAGTACCAGGACAAATTCCTGGGGACTGACCCATTTTGGCCCCTGAACAGACTATTTTGAAGTATGACTTTCCAATAGGCAGGACTGTGTCCCTTGGAGCCTGTGCTGACGCCTGCACGTGGGCATGCAACGCTCAGCACCGGGGCTGGGGAAGGCTGCCTGTGGGCAGAGCTGTCCTGCCCTGCCATGCTGGGGGAGCAGAGGCCATCCAGCTCCTAGGAATAGCTGCAAAAGCTGGACAGCCTCTTTGAAACACCTACTGCACAATCTCCAGAGGTTGTTGAGTGCTCAGGGAACTACTCACCACTGAGTTCATTTCTGAAGCTTATCTTCACAGCACCTTATTTTCTCTGTCTGTAGTTGGTATGTAATTCTCTCCTTTTTCATAGCACTGCTACATCACATGGGATGTTTCTCTGTGTTCCCATGCAGCAACGCACATCTGTTTGTTTAGTTACTGTAAACTGTGCATCGATACTAGATAAACGGCTGGGCGCTCATTTTGGATATAGCCACTCTGAAACTCTTCATGGTGAAGTTGTGCTCCAATTCATTTGCTAAAGATGATTCTGAGCTGAACCAAGAGAAGAGGGAGAGGAGGGAAAGACACTTAGCGCTGCCCTAAGCACTAGAATTTTGCAAAAGATTTTGTGAAATATTGTGGGCTTCTGTGAAATATAAATTCTATGAAATATAAAGCAGTATTTTAGCTCTATACCTAGGGACTGCTTTAATACTTTCACACTCCCATCTTAAGCACTCAGTGTGGGCTGCAGGTAATACAAACTCCAAAGGCCTTTTCCTCTTAGGAAAGATAATGTTTGATTATTGCAACTTCCTTTTTTATACATTTTTCTTCTTGCAGATGCAGTAGAGCTGTGGAGCTGCTTAGCTTAATTAACAGTCCTCTCTGGGAATTGTACCTGATTCTCTAGGTTTTCAAACAGTCCCCTAGAAATCAGATCTTATCGTAAGTGATAAATAATAATTAAATAATAATTATTTCAGCTTCAAATATTGCCAGCTTTCTGTGGGGTGTTGCTTATCTTTTGCATGCTTCGGTGTTACTTATTCCTGGTGGGACTTCTGACGTTAACGGCTAACAATAAACAAAGCCCTCATTATTAACCGTTGGCGTCAAGAAGGACATTACAGCTTTGGCAATTGTCTTGGGAGATACAGATGTGAAATTACCCCTCTGGCAAACTTCCCCCAGCTCGTTCAGCGCGGAAGCTGAGAACACGACCCCGCTTTGGGCAGGACGCTGCAGTCACACGGACGGCAAACACGGAATCCTGACCTGTGTGTGCTAGGCCTGAGCTGCAGCTGCTCCCAGCACTCTGCAGTTTCAGCACATGGGGGTGATGCCGGCAATTGCACCAACACCGATAGTCATTCATGGGATTCATCTTCTCAACAGGACATTTGTCTTAGGATTTTTTTTCACAGCTCCTGTCCCTTGCACAGATTAGGGCAAATAGAGAAAAATAAGTGTTACAGGTATGGCCTGCTGGATGCAAACCTGCCATGTGTGTAAGCCAAATAGCCTTTTTTTTTTTTTTTTTTTTATGGATACTTTACCAGCATGTGCAATTTGGTGCACAGCTTCATGCCTCTGCTGGGACAACTGGCCTGCTGGTTTTCAGGGACTGCACTCGGCTTCTGTAGCACATCTTGTCCTGCTTTCACAATTTCACCATTCCCTGATCCCAGCACAAATGCACATCATGTCCGCTATTTTAAATCATGTCAGACCACTTGTTTTCACATATTAGGCGAGAAATGTAAAGTTGAGAGAACCCTTAAAATATCCTTACATTTACAGTAAGGAATCTAGTATGAAATTCAGCAGTACAAAGACTCTGCAAGTCTAAACAGGTTAAAAATTGCTAATGATCTATTTGCAATGGATACCAAAAGCACAAGGTCTATAACTTATGCAAGTCAGAAATTAGGTCCTAAGACCAAAATATGTCATTTGCTGCCTTCTTGCTCAAAAATCAAGGAAAACTTCAGTAATATGGTGTGTACATAATTCATTCTGTGCTTGTACTGCTGAAGAGAGAATGTGAAAAAAAACAAACCCTTCAACATCTTATTTCTTCTCCTCTCTTTCCTTACTGAATGAAATTACTGGCCAGAAGAATTAATTCTTCCCAGAAACTTTTTGGTGTATTTTATTTTGTTTTTCAGCAGCAGAAACATTTACTGTGGAGCAGGGGGTATGTATGCATGCATGGGCATTTATTTCACTCTCACATATTATTTCTTTATCACTCCTCTCCTACTGAAAACCTCCCCTGTTTGATAGAAATGCATTTCCAGCTCTGTCCTGTTTGATAGAAATGCATTTCCAGGTTTGCTCTGCAAGAACTCTGTATCCTCAAAGCACTGGCCAATTGCCCCAAGGTTTAAAAAAATCCTTCATATAAAGTCTGAAATAGAAAAATATTTTTATTTACAAGAGTAAATAATGTAGTGCAAGGAGAGTGGATTTAACCCTCAATAATGCATAGACTGATGCAATTTATAATCCATGTGATTTAAATAATTTTGCAGAAGTGTATGCACATTGCTTTAAAGGTCAGATCTTTCCTACAGTCACTTACCTCACAGCTTAAAATCAGACAGAAGACATTTCCACTCTATACTTATTACCTGTATAATCTCATCTAGTTGTTTATCAAATAAATTGCTATTTAAACAAATGTCTTTAAAATTTACTATAGGACCAGAAAAAAGCCCTCACCAATATCAGGTATAAAAGAACTTGAAATTAAATTGTTCTTCCACTTTGTGTCACCAGGCTATTTTATTTATTATTATTATTTTAAGGAAGATACGTTCCCCTGGGTAGGGGGGGATGTTTTTGGGGGAGGAATGGACGGATGGGACACTAATTACTCTGTTCTCCAAGGAACTGCTGACACTTTGAAGTTCTGACTCTTCAAGGTTAGCCAGTAGGACTGCCAGGCCATGATCATATTGAAATCTTTGTGATATGAGGTTTGATTTTTAAAGGAAAATGCCTTTTTGTCTTAAAGATTTTCCAGGATGGAAGAGGAGACAGAAACAGGCAGTTCTTGTTCCTGCATGCAGGGGCCGAAGCCCGGGCCGCGGCGTGCGGGAAGCGCCGGTGCCGCCGTTCGTGTTTTGTCTGGTGTTCACACATCCAGCCTGGGCACCCTCAGCACAACAAGCTCAACAGTGGTAAGGGCAATTGGGTAATATTGGAGTTGAAGAGTAAAATCTACTCTTCACTGAAACCAGTGGGGGTTTTGCTCGTGCAAAGATGAAGATTTTGTCTTTCTTTGTCCATTAAAGAAATACTGTATCATCTAGTTGGGTCTACTGAGAAAATCAGTATTCTTTACTTGGCTCGTTAAAGAAGTTACAGGGGAGTGTTTTGTTTTTTTTCTCTCTCTCTCCTCAATCATGGTTAAGTTAGATCAGTGGATTTCCATATGATTTTGGCTGTTGGGGTGTGTTCTTAGCGCTCATCAACAACTAGGACTGCCAGTTTTTATGTTTGTAACCGTTCACATCCCATTTTCATGATGGGATACTAGCCTTAAAAAACAAAAGAAAACAAACTGCTCCTCAGCTGGTAACGAGCTGATTCTGAGGGTTTAACTCTTGCTGTGCTGGACCATTTGAAAAAGCAGATTCTTCTTGTTGTTCTGTTCTGCTGGTATCCTCATTATTCTCCGTGGATGAGGGCTCATCTAAAGACGGTTCTGATCTTGATCCAAGAGAATTATTGGCTTCAGAAAAATAACAAAAGAAATAATTTTAAAAAATCCACGACATCGATAAAGTATATTTATCAAAATTTACAATATTGTGTTGAATTAAAATAGCAGTAAGCAATACTAAGAAGATAAGATTTAAATGTTAGGAAACATTAAAATAAGAATTCCTGTAACTTTAACTATGATCTTGGTATGTGGTTCTCAAGTTTTGCCTTCTAGTATCTCTTTCAAGTTGGGGAGAAAATAAATAAAGTTTTAAGATCTGGAAAGCCCATCTTTAGTTTTCTGCCTCTTAATTACCTCTGTTGTCTCGGAAAAGAAACACACAGATAAACTTTCTAGTGCAGGAGAGAAGTTACTTGGAACTGCTGATTTTGTGTAACTGCTGATTTGAGCACTGGTCTGAGGAGGTATGAACTGTCTGCTTGCAAGTCACTCCAGTGGACCCTCTGAACCTTCCCTTTACTCCCAATTTGTATCTGAACAGAGTCCAGCCCGAGCTTATCGCATGTTGTGAAAATAACATGAAATAATAAAGTCATACAATCATTCCAATAATACCCCATCTGGAGGGACAGGAAATAGCCTCTTATTTCCACTCGTAATCTCGTGCTGATAATGTCGACATTAAGTAACTCTGAGTTAACTCTCTCAGCAAGGGAAATTCTCCAGAAACTAACAGGTTTAGACAAGTAATTTGTGTCTGATTTTATCCAGTCCTTTTCAATGATGAAGGAATTACCTGCATGTCATAAAACTTGTGGTTTGCAGGCAGATCTAACCAATTTACAATTCTTGGTTTTAAAGTTCCATAGTGAAATAAAAAGAACCCTTCTCTCTTTTCCCCTCAGTTTTACTATGACAAATACTTACCAGAAAGAGACTGAAAATATTGCATTGTAAATGCAACCAGAATTGATAAGAGAAAGGTTCCCATGAAGTATATCTGTGAGAACAAGTTTAAAAACATGTTAGATGAATGCAAAACCCAGGTACTGCTCCAAATAAACAAGTGATCTTTAGTAAAGAGGCAATACATACCAGAGTAGATTGCAAAATATTGTTCCAAAAGACTCTTATATGAAAATAAAGTAATGCCAAGGAGCATGGACTAATTGATTCTTGGTTACTATAATTCCAGCACCTACAAATAAAACATTAAAACAAACAATTAATTCTACTCTGCAATTTTGAGACATCTGTCATCTGGGCATCTCAAACTGGTTTGCAACAACCCTCAGTAACTCACAGAAACAAGCAGATATTATCATCATCCTGCACAGGGTGAAACAAAAACTTACAAAAAATACCAGATTAACCTTATTCAGCACAGAATATGTTACCATGGGCACCTGCTTCTATTTTTCTGATTAGTCAATAACCGGTCCTAGTATCAAGGCTCTCCTTGTCAAGTAGACACATGCAAGCTCATATCCATGTTCCTTTTTCTAATAACACAAGTCATTATCAGTAGGATTCATGTCTCGGTCCTAGTATCAAGGCTCTCCTTGCCAAAAAGACACATGCAAGCTCATATCCAAGTTACTTTGTTCTAATAATACAAGTCATTATCAGTAGGATTCATGTCAAGGTCAGATCTACGAAGTTGGGTATGCAGGAAATTGTGAGAGAACTTAGGTAAGCGCCTAAGCCAAGTAGTTACTGGGCACCATGTTGTGGGCTGAGCTTAGCTGCTTTCCAGAGTCTGTTAATGACAACTTCACCAGCTAAAGGAGTTCAGAGGGCTAAACCACAGGTACTTGAGGCTGCAAGTGACTCTTTCCTACCAAGTTGAGGAGATTAGGGGTGTGTGTGTGTGTGTGTGTGTGTGTGTGTGTATGCCCCTGCAAACAGGAGCAAGATAATGGGAAATCACTGCAAGGCTGTCAGTTCTGGAGTTAATCCCGGATGGATTCAGCCCAAGTGAAAGCCGAATTCAGAATTCTAGTTTGCAAGTCCAGCTGGACCCACTGGGTCAGGAAGCCCTATTTATCTGACTAGTGGTTTTGTGCAGACGGGAGATAATTTAGGGGACAAGTACAAGTTCAGGCTAACCAAAGAGAAGAACAATTTCAATAGATTGTTAGTGAATTAACAAATGGATGTTTAATGTTATCATCTTCACTTTTTTTAAGTCACATAAAACTGACAAAATAGAAATTAGAGTGCTGATTCTTTGTTCAATGTAGTAGCCACTAGTTCCTTCTTCCCTGAATATCTGATTCTTTGTTCAATGTAGTAACCACTAGTTCCTTCTTCCCTGAATATCTGAAAGACAGTTTTTCAAGTAGTGCATAAGCTTTACATTTGCACTGTGCTTTTCAAACCCACATTTCCCAATCTAGGAAAAGGGCACCTAAGATCTGTACTGGGACCAGAGTTCTTTAGGTGCGTGAAATGTCAGGATGGGCAAGAGAAAAAGCAGCTCTGTAATCTTCTCACTGATCTAATACTCTGTGCCACGACATGCATGTCAGGATGCTCTGGGTGCAGGGGGAGAGCAGAAATAAACTGAGTATCTTGAAAAAATGTCTTTGCAGAGTAAGTAGGAAGGATTGCTATTATCCCAGCTACATACTTGTAACAATTCCTTATAAAATTATGCCTCGTTTGGCATTAAAAGATTATTTTGGACACAACATACAAATCGTCAGTACCTAACAGAACTGGGAAAGATCTCTTGAATTATTAAAGCTGTTCCCTCCTATTTCAGGCAACCATGTATATTCAGGTCTCCCATAATTGGCTGCAACTGAAGTCTATTTAGGCAGTTCAAGATTAACATTCATTACAAGCATGTTGATCTTACCTCTGTGTAATCTGCCTTAAATCTTACAGATGAACCAAGTTAATAATTCTAGTTGTTGTTGTTTTCAGAAGCAAATGTTACTTACATGGAAAGACTGAAGGTACTGAGAATGTTGCTGATGAAGCACAAAAAGGCTCACCTGTAATAGAGTTCCTGAAGAAGTGAAGTATTGCTAGAATGCACAGTTTGATCGATTTCCAGGTGATCCAGAATGTACGAAGGTATGGAGTTACCCTCTTCTATGAGAAGGGCCAAATTAAAGAACCCCTACCAAAAAAAAAGTATATGCACTTTGAATCATTAAGTTTTCAAATGTATATTTAAAGCCTAACATAAGCATCATATATTTAAATAATTACAATCATCTAAAAATTCTTAAAATATGAACTATGTGATCTTCACTGAACAGTAACATAGCCTTTTTTCCCAACCATATATTCAGGTGAATTCTGAAACTGCCTACAATCATCTAAAAATTCTTACAATATGAACTATGTGATCTTCGCTGAACAGTTAACACAGCCTTCTTTCCCAATCATATATTCAGGTGAATTCTGAAACTGCAAATGAACTAGCACTCATTTGCTGTGACACTGATCACTATTTCCTTACAAACTGGCTGAAAGAGGTTCTTAGCTTTCTCATTTTTAATTGCACTTTAAACAGAGCCAGCATAGCAAATAGTCAGGTTTTATCTACTGGAGAAATACAGACTGAAAACAAGAAATGGATTTCTGCTCTGTTCTGTTAGCATTTCACTTCCTTACACTTAGTTCATTACTCACCAACAACAATTGCAACAATTATTCTGAGAGCAGAAATTTGCTCCAGCCACTTCAAATCCTTAATCTTACAATTTTTCCTACTTGGACAAGTCTTAGGCATCAGACTTCAGAGACATAAAGCTGAGTATGTAGGAAAGCTACTACAGGATTTGGCTTTCACACTTTAAAATGCGTCTCTTCTTTCCACTGCTAGTTGGTCAGTAATGTTTTTTTCTTTTATCCTAATATCCTCAGAACAAAACTCAGCTCTGCTAATCTGACTAAACTTCCATACAAGATATTGTCCGAGGAAAGTGTTGTGGCAACACAGAGACATGGGCAGAGCAGAATAAAGCATGGGGGATGTTCCAGGAGATTGTAGCAGAACACTGCATGTCTTCAGTAATGTGACCTGATATATAGTTTCATTATTAAGCATTTTAAGATGAAGATTTTGTCGAAGTGAAGCAAATGTAGTGAAAAAAAAATCACTATAGGATTCACTGTATATATGAAAGGAAACGGACCAGGCTTTTTGCTTATTTCCTAAAACAGTAGATAATAGTTCTGGAATAAAACTCAGGCAGTCTATTAACTTACACTACTGAAAATACAAAGGTCTCAACAGAATCATCTGTGTGATAGCAGAGTGGCACTTAATTAGGCCATTTGGCTTTAGCTCTGAAAACAACCTAATTCTAGGTTATCTGTCTATTTATTGTAGGTTTATCTTCTATTAAATAGCACATACTGACTCATGAGGTATTTAGAAATGATTATAACTTTTTGTAGCAGGTGTGTTCAGCACACACATGTAGCCAAGCCAAGTCAGTTCCAGGCATTTCTGGACGCTGGTGTTTTATTAACCCGTCACAGCTGCAGCCCCACCTGTGAGTCTCCCTCCAGGGCAGCCTGCGCGTACATCCGCACCGAGAGCTCCAGGTCTTTGGACTGGTTCTGGTAACCGTAGTAGTAGAAATCTCCCATTTTCAAATAAGCTGTGGAAGAAAACAGCAAGAGACCATTTAAAGCATTTGCAGAGAAAGAATTCAACTATAAGTGATGGAGAATTTAATAATAATTCTATTTAAGACAGCATATTAAAAATAGAGATATTCCTTTTCTCTCATGGTCTCTGTGGCTACTTTCCATCAGACTACCTAATGAAAATGTTTATCCTGGCTCTTTCTCTTGGTTGCTCTTTAATAGATGAATTTAGTGAAAAACTTTGCTGCATTTTCAAAAACTGAGACTTAGAGACGTCATACTGTATTTCTTCTTCACTTACTGAGTTCATTGAGGGAACTGTGGCTCTACCATTTAGGTTAACTCTACTATCTTATCACACTTAAATGTGCTATTTAGGCACTTGTTCTGGACTTATCACTATGATAGCTGTACCCATCCCAAAAATGCAGAACACTTTGCTGAAGTTAATTTCATCAATTTCAAATCCAAACTATTTCAGGATGACTTTAGGAGAAGACTTCTGGTCTAAAAACAGAGTGATGGCTGTCGAATCTTTTATGAATACCTTTCTCTGATACTGCACAGTAAAGAAATGCTCCGCCAGACAGGAGCAAGCACGTCACTGCACTGAACGATGCTGGAGAGTTCATAAAATGCCCTGGGCTTTCCCTTACCTTTCCCTTTGAGGTCTGAAATAACCTCACAGCCTGGTGTTGTGTGCTGACAACGTCAGCTCCCTACAGATCCCTGGTTTGTGCCGAGCGCGTCGCTGCGCCCGCCCGCGG